TTGAAATTTGAAGACAGTACAATGCTCTAAACAAAGCTGTAAAGAATAACTGTAATCAAGACAAAAAGCTGTTCCTGAAAATGATGCTAGAACACTTTATAAAATTGTGAGATATCTTACAATACTGCCATTCCAATAAATGATAAAAGATGGAAATTAGTGCTCTCCGAAACCAGAAAAATAGCAGATGGATTGAATATTTCAGAAAAGTTCTGAATCAGCCAATGCCAGCAAAACTTTGAAGATAAATTATCCAACAAATAACATGTCAGAAAAGGATGTTGATGAGTTTGAAAGTTCTGGCAAATAAAAAAGCTGCAGCTTTCAGAGTTACTTAAATGTAGAGGCAAACCAATAGTGAAAAAGCTCAGCTTATCAACTTGGTATGGAATACTGGCAATGTTCCTGATAAATGGAAGTGCAAAGCAACTATAAGACTTCCAAAAAAGGAAAATTTAAGTGAATGTGACAATTGATTATCATTAGAAAATTGCTACATTGTATTCTTTTTGTATACTTACAAATGTATGTAGATACTAAATTGCAAGAAGAGCAAACTGGATTCAAATTTTCATTGCACAATCAGAAGTTTACACAGATTTAGAATAAAAGCTTTTGACAGTGTCTGCCGAACATTCTCAAGATTTATGGCAACCCACAAAATTTTATAGATATTTTCCAAGAGCTCTATACCAATTCCTGATGAAGTAACAGATTTCTTTGAAATTAAGACTGGAGCGCAGCAGGATAATGTTACCATCACCATTTTTCTTCCTTGTAGTAAAGGATTATATAATGAGGAAATCAATGCATGAATCACAGTTTGGTATAGATTGGCAGAAAAAGATTAGCTGATGGTTTAGCTTTATTTGCTGACAAATTCAGACAAATGCAAATTGTGACATTTGAAGTCAGTTCTAAGTTTGAATTGAGGTTAAAAAAAAATCCAAAAGATTCGGACTTAGAGAATGATGACATTATATAGTTAGAATGACACCACATTGAGGAAGTTGATAACTTTCACTTACTTTGGAAGCATTCAATCTAATTTTGATGAAACAATCAAAGAAGTTAAAAATCATATTGAAAAACTAATAGTGTCTTTAAAAGACTTCATTCTGTCTGGTACTCAAATAAGATTAGTCTCTGGGTGAAGCTCAAATCATATAAGTCTATTGTCCTCTCAATTACCTTATATATGTGTGAAACTTTGAAATCCACCACAATCTTAAAGAATCTTAAAGGTGTCTTGGAGAGATAAAATCAATAATGAGGAAGTGCTAAGACATACAAATTCTAGAAACTTTAGTGTAATGGTGATAGATCAGTGAATACAGTTCACCAGCCATATCCTAATAGTTGACCAGATAAAGTTGCCCTAAACTGGATACCTAGTAGAGAAGTGTCAGAGGGTTCTTAATCAAAAACTTCAGAAATAAACAGACTCAAAGGTATAAAATAAATAATCTATATTTATTTATTTGATATGGAATCCTTTGTAATTCAGGTTGATGAAAATCCATTTGGTTTGATGGTTGATAGTTTACAAGTCAGATCTAGCAATTGAGTGTGTTTACTTTGTAAACTCATCGCAGTTGTCAATCTACTGTGTTTTCTCAGCCCTTGGAAGGGCAGAAAAATGTCAATCAGACAACTGCTTAACTTCTTCATGTGTCACACTGGGCTGGTTTCTCTGGTGGTCTCTTCTCTCCTTCTACCTCATGGCTGTTTGTTTATATTCCTTTGTCAGGGTTTCAGACTACTAGTGTGAAGCTTGGTTTCGGCTAACATCAAAAGTCTCTTTGTTTTAATTTCTTTTAGATTGGCCAAAAATTATTTTTATTTTTCAGTGTTCCTTGCTTTTAAAAATTTTTTTCTTAGTGGAAGTTATGTGTGGAGCCTCTCTTATTTTGGTAGATTTCTTATCAGTGGCTAGACTCTGGTCCAGCAAACTTCCACTTTTTTGCAGCTGTGTTCAATCTTTTCTTCTCCCTCTTTTTTATTTGAGGATTGCCTTCTCATTAGTTGGAAGAGAAGTATTGAGATACGGGTAGAAAGTGAAAGAAAGAAAAAGAAATGAGTTTTAAAAGGAAAGCAAATGCCTTATTTTGATTCTTTTTTTTATTTATTTATTATATATATATATTATCTGGATTTATTACACCTTGAAAGCCACAAAAGACCAAAGGATCATTCTAAAAAAGCATGGTTAAAGAACACCAACTGCTTCCAGGCTCTGCAACTTGTCCCAAATCAATCTACTGTATATAGCCGCAAATAGGTTGCACTTTTTTTTCACCAAACTTTTTATAAAAGTCAGAGGTCTAACCTATCCACTTGACATCATAGAGAATCTGAAGTAAACTGTGGTGTATCAGTAGTCCAGGCAAATACTGAGCTCAAGCATAAGTGAGAGCAAGGGAGAAAATGAATTTTTCCTGACATTTCAATTTTATGCAATCATCTCTTTCAGCAGTACAACATCACACATCAAATAAAAGCACTCGATCTGCTATGCTCGTATTTACCATTTATTATCTGATTTACAACAAAAGACTACCATTTTCAACTGATTTTAGGACTGAAGTGATTACCGGTATCCAAATTTTCGACTAAACAGAACAGCCTCGCTACTTGATAAATACCACACAATAACCAATCACTTTTCTTATGTTTTATGTTACCAAATTTTTGAAATAAAGGTGAATATTTGAAAATATTTAACAAAAAAAAAAAGGGCTATGTCACTCCCCAGATTATAGTGAGACTTATCTGCAAGTCAAACACAAATACCCACTTTGACAACCCCAAACTAAGGGTGCGACCTATACGTGAGTATATATGGTAAGCAGAGGAAAATGAAAGGACATGAAAAGTTCTTTACTTTATGGGGGGGAGCTCATACACGTACTTGTACATATGAGCCAATGACAAAAACTGCCCGGTCTCCACGGCCGCATTCACGCTGACGTTGTACACAGACCCCACCTAGAGTAATGAGAAAGATGCTGCTGTAGACCAGGCGCCTTCTCCCATCTAAAATAAGAACATATACCAAGCTTTAATCCCAGCCCGAAAGCCTGGGGAGAGGCCTTTTTTTTTTCTTTTTTTTTTTTTTTTTTCACTACCTAATTGTGAAGGAAGTTGGTACGTATGATAAGAGCAGTAGTTACCGGCCCAAAGACCACAACAGTCTGTTAGTGTTAACTGTTAAGTCATTCATTGGTATATTTTAGAATTTAGATTTTGCTAAATCACTCTACATGAGAATATCGAACGAATAAACAAGAAGATATTATGGAAAATGTTTTGAATTTTGATAAAACGGCTAATGCCGTGTATTATTGTAAATTTTGAGTTGCGAGGCCGCATCAATTTATTTTAAGCGTGTCGACGCATAATTTTAGATAAAAATGAACAAAACCGTAACATAATCAAAAAGAAAAACATTTAAACTGGAAATGTGATTCCATTGTATTGTAGATGCATTTAATTATTTGTTTAAAAACTAAATAAATGTTTCTATATTTTTCTTACTATCCCTGTCATATTTTCAAGCACTCAAGCAGTTATTGACCAAAAAAAGTAATAATTATAATTTCTGCCAGTTTTCCTTATATATTTTATAACTTTTGGGTACCGTTTCTTAAATTTGTAATGGTTAACAAGTTAGTGTCGCAGATCATTAGTAGTGAGTTCAATCCTGTCTCTTTTTATGGCCAATGGTTACTCGTTCGTTACTAGAATTAGCAAGTTAGCCTTGAAGATCAATAGACTATAATATTGTAACATTGTTCAATTCGCGCCTTATTGTTGTTGTGCCAAACCCAAAATTAAGCAAAAAAAAAAAAAAAAAAGATTTCTGTAAATTAAAAATTAAAATTGAATAATAATTTTTTTTTAACAATAAACTTAAACTCTTCAGTCGACAGGATGACAAAATAATTATTATTATTATAATTTATTATGCGTCAAATTTAGTTTTTTTTTCTCCACAAATTAAATTAAAAAAATCGTTAACACGATTTTTATCAAAGTAACATTTTTAAATCGGACAGTCATAGTTGTCCGTATTTCTTAAGGTAAAAATAAAAATTTAAAAACCACAAAAAAGTCAATAATTTTTAAACGGGATAAACTTTCTCCGACTAAATCGAATTTATTTTTAAAAATGATTTTATTTTTATTGTTGCTTTTTCAATTATTAGAAAATATTAAAACATGGTTAATTTTTTTTAATAAATTTTAATAAAATATTTTTACAAAGCTTTAATTTTAACTGCCTTTGTTATCAAAATCGGTTATTTCATCATTAGTCATTTTTTAACTCTTTCTGTGAAAGTCGTAAAACCACTACTACTAACTAGAAAAAGAAAGGAAAAAAAAAAAGATCCTGTTTATTTTGTCTTGTGACCAGATTTCGAAAATGCAAGATTAATAAATATAAAGTGTGTCTTTTCTATAGTTGACTTATGTGTAGCAACATAATAACATAAAAAAATATATTTTTAATAAACTAAATAATTTAAGATTGTTACAATGTTATTTGTTACACAATGAAATTGAAATGTGATGATGCACAATAAAAGGCCGAGACCGGGATACAATTCCAGACTGAATTCGTAAAGAAAGCAGGAAAAAAAATATATGGTAGATAAACTTTTAAAAACAAATCCCTCTTTAAAACTTTAATGGTTATTGCAACACAAAATTCAAAATCCCACACTTTTTTTACAGGTCACAGAACAAAAGTGACCCCTAGGGTGAATTTCATTCTCAGAAATAAACAACTCGTCTTTAATTTCACGAAACAGCAGAGAAAAATCATAACGAGTCATTATTTTTTGGTTTTTAAATATTTACTTTCCAATTATAAAAAAAAAAAAAAAATAAGAACGATATTTCGGACAAGGATCTGATTTCAAATTTTTCAACTTAAAAATAAAAATTAATGACAACTATTTATTTTTAAAAAATGTTAATATAAATAAATAAAGTACCGTTATTTATCTTCTTGTATCTTGCACAAAATAATCCAAATCATTCCATGGTGGTGATGATAATTTATAAAAGCAGGATTTTCTCCTCTTCAACCTTCGTAAACAGTAAAAAAAAAAATGTTTGTGTAAAAAAAAAATAACTGAATAGACGTCGTAGGAGGAGGAAACGAGAGGATATCAAGCAAAGAAGAATGCTTCAGCAGCAATAAAATTATTGTGTCCTCTTCTGATCGCAAACACGTATTCTTTGAAACTTTGACATTATTCTCCCGTGAAAAAAATAATGAAAAAATAAAAAAAAAATTTTTCCTTTAGTTAAAAAACAAACAAAAAAAAAAACATGTAGGTAACAATTCAAGATTATTACAATCATTATTAACATTTAAAATAAAAATCTTATTCTTCTTAATAGAAGGAAAGTTTTTTTTTTGTGAAATTTATCAATTACAAAAACTAAAAAAAAATTAATTAATTTTCTTTTTTTTTTTTAATTAAGAAACAAACAGAATTAATTCAAATACAACATTGTTTTAGTAACAGAAATTTTAAGATAAAATTAAAAATTGAAATAAAGTTAAAAAAAATAGAAGTAAAATATTTTTAAAATAAAAGTTAAAAATTTAAAATAAAAACAAATATTTTCTTATTATTTATTTTGTGGAGCTTCACTCATATTTTGAAAGTTACCGTTATCTTTTTTTTTTTTAAACTATTATTGATTATTATTAAAAAAAAAAAAAAAAAAAGATTAACTACAAGTAGACTTGTGGTGAGCTAAAAAAGTTAAAAACTAAAACTAAAAAAAGCCTTTCTTCATTTGTCTCTCCGCCACTCACAAGTCAATTATTGGCGTATGGACGTTTGGAGACAGGATTTTTTATGATTTACTTTAAAGAAGAATCCCTGAAGACCTTATTTCAGTAAAAAAAAAAAAAAAATCAATCAATCAATAGGTTATACTAAATTCTTATTATTAAACATTTATTTATTTTTTGGTTTTTAAATAGTTAAAAATTAAGTCTGTAAAAAGCTAAAAATGCAGTTACCCAGAAAAGGGATTTTATTTAGGAACATTGATTGGTCTAAAAAGAAAAATTTCATTGTTGGCCTCTAAGGGAAATTTATAAGCAATGAACATTGGTCTAAATATTTTTGAATAAATTAACACTTTGACTTTAGAATTTAGGAAAATTCGGCAATTTTGACAAGGCAGGAAAATTCGGTAACTATGAAATATAAAAGTAAATTGAAAATTGATTTTAGGGCCGTTCTGGATTAGGGATTTGGAGGCTAAACTCTCTCCCCTATATTTTTTAAAATAATTCAATATCGTGGGGTCCAGATAAAACCCACTAGAACAATACCAGGGCTGTACTTCCTCAATATTTTTTAAAGAGTATTTTTTCTAGACCCCACCCCAATCTAGGGGGGGAGTCTAGAAAACCCATTACAACAAAACCAGGGCCGTACTATCTGGATGGGGGTTAATCCCACCCTCCAATATTTTTAAATAAATATTTTTTAAATAAGTATTTATTGTTTTCAAGCAAATGAAATCGATTAAAAAGTTAAGTTCTTGTATTTTCTTTTTAAATTATTATTTTAATAAAAAATGTAGTAAATAAATTAAGTTTTAGAATAGTTGAATCAATGAATAGAATACTAAAAAAGATATTTATTTAAAAATATTGGAGTGGGGGCTTAGCCCCTAATCCAGAAAGTACGTCTCTGGTATTGTTATCGTGGGGTTTTATCTGGACTGGAAACCATGATTTTTTTTTAGTTGTTACTACAGTACACGAATTTAAGAAAATTCGGTAACTATGAAATTGAAATAAGTCAATTGAAAATTGATTGTAAGGCCGTCCTGGACAGGGAATTTAGAGGCTAAGCCCCCTCCCCGATATTTTTAATTTTAAATAACTTAAAATCGTAGGGACCAGATAAAACCTCACTACAACAATATCAGGGCCGTACTTGCAGAAGCGGGGTTAGTGGAATAGGCCGCCTCCTACATTTTCTAATAGGGGTATAGAAAACCCCACTACAATAATAATACCGAAGCACCACTCCCATACGTTTTTTAAATAAGATCATGGGTTCCAGCCATTCCAGATATCGTAGGGACCAGATAAAACCCCACTGCAACAACACCAGGGCCGTACTTTGTGGAAATAATTACTACTGTTTCATTCAAGCAAATAAAATCGATTTAAGTTAAAGTTCTTGTATCTTCTTTTAAATTATTATTTTAATAAGTAGTAAATAAAGTTTTTTAGACAGTTAATTCTTTTTAAAGAAGCAAAAACTATATAACCTCATTTTTTTGGAATTTTTCTTGAAAAAATTTACAACAAATAACAATTAACACAACATTTTTGTTTAAAGAAACTAAAATTAAACGAGAAGTAGCCCCCTCTTAGCCCTTTTACAAAAAAAAAAAGTAACATGTTCAAATGTCAAACAATAAAGCTATCTATCTACCCTAGTATTGTAAATAAAGTTCTAGTTATTTCTTTTTAAAGAAGCAAAAAGTAGTCACATTTCTATTTTTAAAAAATATAGTCCCCACTCCAGAACGGCCCTAAAATCAATTTTCAATCGACTTTTATTTCAGTTACCGAATTTTCCGGGCAACAGCAATATAATACCCTGGGGAAATTGGTGAACCCTCCTCGACACTTTCCCTTTTAGGACGATGCCTCAGGTGCCGGATAATGACTCCATCCCCGTCCCGAAGGACAGGTACTGTGCGGCGTGGGAACTTCAACTGATATTATTTTTAAACTACCTAGCCGAAGCCATATTATAGTAAAATAAGAAATAATGTCGGATAAAAAATCCCTTTAAAGATTTTACGAATCTCGAATGAGGACATCTGAGTCAGTAAAAAAGGAAAAAAGCTACGAACGAAACATACCTCCTAATTCGCTAAAAAAAGAGCATGATGAAAAAGGCCCCAAACTTGATAAAAACAAAGTTTTATCGTGAAAATGTTTCTTATTTTTAAGATTAAGAGGAAAAAACAAAGTGTTTTTTTGTGTGTGTTTTTTTTTTATATTTTATTAAATTTATTTAATTCTTTCTAACACGTTCGAAATTATGATTTAAAAAAAACTCGTTTTTTCTTGCGTCAGCGGAGAAGCAAAGCTTAGTACGTAGGAAATTTTAGCGACTTGTAGTAAAAAAAAAAAAAAAAAAAAAAACTTTTAAAAACTCTTGCTAAAATCAAATAATTGTGAAATTTTAATGAAACTTTCAGAACATTCACAAATGAATAAAATTATTTTAGAAACTTTTTTTTTTTAGAAAATCTCGGTAATTTTTTTTTTTTTTTATCTGTTGCCGCACTTACTTAATGAAATTTCCAGAAATTAAATCTTTCCTCTCTTCATTAAAAGCAGGACTTCTTGGAGAATGTAAATCATCAATTTATTGAGCTTCTCTATTAGCCCAATCTTACCTTCTTCGAGTAAAGCACTATTCCAACTTTCATTTTTAAATCTAGCCCTCTGATTGGTTCATTTCTACCAATCAGGTCGCCCGCGCGTGCACTTCGAAGTTTTGGCGCAAAATCGCTCTAGAGCCACCCACGCGATTATGATCTCTTAAAAAGAAACCAAAGCACGTGTAACCACGCAGAAGCAGACGGAGACCTGGGCAGATCATTTTTCGATCGGCCACTCAAGCTTAAAAATGTAACGACTACAATTCACCGTCTCGCGAATCGAGACGACAAATCTTTCGCGTTCAATATCTTCTACGAACTTCTTCGTCATTCAAGAATCTCAAACCATACATTCTCTTTGATCATCTACGATAAATCAGTCAGTCGAACGAGCACAGAGATATGCTAACATAATCCACGTCGCTTGCAACTGCAATCTTCCCGCGCAAACTAAATCACAACTGACTCACTCGCAAGCCCAAACTGAAGAACACTCTGTGAACACCAAAACTTCTATCCGAACGACTTTATTTATCTAAAGTGAATTAACACTCACTACTATTCTAAGTAAATAACATTATCGAACGAACTCAACATTTACAGTCAAAGGTAGACTACTTTGTAATGACTCAATTCTAAAAACATAGTAACGACATTCTAATTACAATTTTCTAAAAAGGCTGTAACACAGATACACAAGACATAAAAAAGGACATACAAAAAACTTCAAATATTACGAACATACCAACACATTAACACCTTCAAAAATATTCTGTACATATTATCTTATTTGTATATAAATGCATTTATTGGTTTTGAATTGCATGCACGTTTTTGTCTTGTTTATATCGAAATTGTTTATTTGTTGTGGATGCAGAAAAGTTCACGCAACCTGACATAAAAAATTCCTTCTGATTTATCTCAATGCTACAACAAATTCCTTAGTTTATTCTGCACATCCCCAACAATTTTTTTTCAAAAAATAACTCATTTACCGAAAATCTGCTCTGAATCGTAAAATAAAAAAATACAGTAAAACTAAGATATTTAATTAGAAAATCTTTTAATTGCTTTTATAAATAAAATATATCAAGGACACTATTGTCTTAAATATTTCGATGAAGAATGAATTTTTACAAGATTTGTTTCATTTATTTATTTTATACATTTTAATTAGAATAATTTATTTTATTAAGTTTTTTAATCTATTGAAATTCTGTATTAATTTTTACCTTTTAGTTGATATTATTAAGTGAAAACTATATTTATTAATTATAAATTGAAAGCTTAGTGCAAATCATCAAACACCAACATTTTTAAAAGAATTTTGAATTTTTTGTGTATAAACGTGCCGATTTTCTATATACAATCGACCACACATTATCAGAAAATATGAGCGATAACTATAAGTATACAACCAAAAATATTTAAAATTCAATAAAACATTATTAGATTATGGAGAATATGTTTGTTGAGGATGTGTGTTGGAGAGGAATAGAAGGTTTGAATTATCAGAAGGCTTAAAATTGTGTGTGTTCAATAATCTTCCATCCACAATAATTAATACAAGGCAGAGAATAATGATTCATAAACATAACGTATTGTTTCAAAACGTAACAATTGAATTTATTAGTGTTTGGTGTACAAGCATAATAGCTGAAGGTGTGATAGAGTTGTGTCTCTTAGATTTGGAAATATTTGCATTTGAGCTCATAAAGTGAAAGTAATTATTAAACTGTAGTTTAGAAGCCATATCACAAAGAGAATCAGATATATATTACCCGTGCGAAGGTTCATAGTATTGAATTTAACGCCTTTAGGTGGGATGTCCATATTTCCACAGGAACAGTTTTTTGTTGCATACTAAGAGTATTTTTATTATTTTAAATTTTTATTTAATTTATAATTTTCATCATCATTATAATAATAATAATAATATATTTATTTATTTAATGTCCCTGCAGATTCTTTATAATCTATATTTCACACTACAGAAAGTATTCCATAATTAAATGTCTAATGACTGTTCTCTTTTTTGAATAGCCTTGCCGATCAACAACTAAATTTTAAAACATTTTTACAGAAAATAATTAGTTTACATTTTTATTATTATTATTATTACGGGCCACCATACTTTGAAACGGATTTGGATTTAAGTTTTTACTTTACTTTTTTTTTATTTTAAAGTAATTCCATGAAAACAATATTTTTTAAATCAGATTTTGACAAAATAAGCAACACCTGTTTTCGTTAAAAATATTTTCTTAACGAAGGTTTTATGTTTATATTGGTATTTTAAATACTGCAAAAGACAGTAAAGAAAATAACTATTTCCTATTGAAAATTGTTTTGGAGTTATGCGTTTTGGCGTATTTCTTTTCTGAATTTTGAAATATTTTCCGTTCTATAAAAAAGCATGAAGTATTTGTTATGGGGGTACATATTTGTGGCTACACCGAGGCTAATGGTTCGGTTAGTTCCCTTTAAATGTATTTGTAGATATGAGGTATTATAATTATTATATTAGAATTTTTTTTTTTTTTGGCGATTGATGTACAAAAGTGTTTGTATAAATAAGTCGTTATAGTGAAAGGAATATTAAAGTTTGATTGTGTCAGTGAATGCGACTTAGTTAAAGCTAGGTTTATGACTAGCAGCTCCCCTTCGCCACCTTGACCTTGTTTTATAATTTTTATAAAAATTGATATTCAGTTAGCTCCCTTAAAAAAAAATAATAATAATTGCATTCGCACGCCAGCTTTACTAAATTGTTGCCTCATTATATGATGTCAGAAACGAAATTTTATTCGACAAAGACCGACCAAAGTTAATGTAAACTTTGCGTACGCGTGCCAAAACATTTTTTCTGATCACTACGACAAAAATGAACAGAGATGTGTGAAAATTACAATTACACAGAGCTTGAGAAGAAGAACTCCAACATAGTTTTTGTGGAATTATTAAATTGGTGACAAAGTCGTAGGTTTTTTTTGTAATATTATCTATTAATAATAGTTTTACAATGGGCTTCTTAAAGATGTGTGTTTATTGTTGTTTAAATTAGGTAAAGTTTCTGTAAAAATGTAGGAAAATAATTTAATAATTCCTTGCAGACGTGCATATTTTGGATAATTAATTAAATTAATTGTTAAGGTTGGATTTATATTGAAAAAGGACATTTCTTTCATAAGAGAAATTGGTAAATTTACTATTACACCTCGTCTCCCTTTTAAAGAGTCGAAATTTATGTTTTTCCTATGGTTTTTGAAGTGTTTTGAACGAATGTGAACATTCAAAACTGTCTTAGTTATTCCCACCCGGAAGTTCTCGGGTCGGGCAACCACAGAATCTGTATAATATTTTTCTTTACCAGTGAAATTTATGTTTATTCTTATGGTTTTTTTATGTGTTTTGACGTCAGAAATTACTCGTTTTTCAGCTACCCTCCTCTGGGAGTTCTCCAGTGGGAGAACCACAAAATCTTGATATTTCTCCTATACACAAATCGTCGTAAATGAGCTATTTTGGAGATAATTAAATTCGTTTTTAGTTACCAACTCAGTATCAGGGATCCTGGAGTTCTCGTGTGGCGGAACCACAGAAAACTAGTAATTTACAACGATTTTGATGGTCGGATTCATTCAAACCCAACAACCTAACATAACTCAACCTAATGGAAATGCAGGGACAGGATGAGATTCTTCCAACTCAGAATATAATTCCTGATGGGTAATGGGTAGGTGGCAGTCTGAGAGAAGTGGGTATAACTTGGATGTCTGAATAAAAAATGCTATCTCCAAGTCTAAGATTTTGTTCTCAAATAAACATTGGCAAATGTAGCTGGAACATATCCCATTAATAAAGGTATTTCTACAGTGTTCGTTTTTCTACTCGTCAGCAATATGAGACCAAAAATTGCAGTCCTGTGTCAAAAGCCTTAGGATTTCAAGGTACTGATCCAGGCTTTTGTTTAGATTTTGTTTGCAGTTGGAGAGCAAATATCATGCAACTATTTTGTTATTAGGCTTAATGTAGAGCTTTCTGAGCATTTCCATAGCTGTCTCATAAGATGTTGATTGCAAGAGAGGTGGGACAGCTCAGATGAAGGGGTTGGAGAATGTCAGATTGAAATTAGTCTGCTCAAGTTTATGCCATACAGTCATCGAGACTAGACTTCCAACTACCAACAAAGTTACAGGCTTTTAAGTGTCTACATCCACAGTATTCCTCCATTTACAGGCCTCCTTCATTCTCTAAGAACCAATCAGCATGGTAGTTAGAGTAGACCTTCACTCTGTTCTTCTGTGTGAATATGTAATGTGTCACAATAGTTCTTGAGCTGATCTGTCTAGCATTTGAGCATTGATCAACTGCCCATGCCCCAATAATGCTCCCAAAATGTGAACAAATATATGCAATTGAGATTTGTCAGAAAACCCAAAGACTGTCAAGTAAGGGATATAAGAATCTGACTTGTCCAATTCTTGATCTTGCCACTCCATCCAAATGAGGTCATCATGAAGTTTCTTAGGTAATAGCTATTTGCTTGCTTCATCAATTGGACAGTCCAAGACCTTATCTACATAGTAATGTAATGTTCTCATTCTTGAATAATAATCCAATATAATAAGACTGAAGTGCAAACTCTCATTGGGGACCAGACATGTTTTGGGAATTTGACTAGGAACATATTGATTGCAGCAATCATGGCCTAATAGGTCTTGTTGTCTAATAAAGTGGACACCTTCAATGAGAGCAATGGGGACTTTGTGGGTGCTACTGCTTAAACAAAAAGGCTCTTGTTGAACTCTTTCAGCCAATTGATTCTGTGTCATCAGATCGTATTGACCACATCCACTCTGATTGCATTGCCCAATCAATATTCGCTATGAAGCCAGAAGAGGTAGTATTTGATGTGTTCTTGGGTATCTTTTCTATTAAATCTGCCTGCTAACAAAGTTATCTTTATGACAGCCACCAATTTACAATCTGAAATAGCAGGACACTACCATGCAGATATTATTGGTAATCACACTAATAGGCTCTATGGATGAAAAGCCTATTCAGTATCCATCAAATTATTTCTCCAGGTCTGCCAAAAAACCTCATGCCAGGTTAATGACCTTTGACAAGAATATGCTAGATCTAATCAAAGATCTGACTTCCACATTTGGGGAAGGACTGTCACCTAATATAGATACTGAGTTAGTATTGATTTATTGAGCTGTAAAGGACGTCATTCCTCCTGACACCCTAATAGACAACTAAAAATCATTTACAGTGCAAATTGGACAAAGCGGAAATACAATTTTCTTCCCTTTGAATTTCTTCAGGCACTGTAGTAGCAGTAGTAGTAGCAGCAGTGATATAGTCCATCAGCATGTAGTTATAGACATCTGAGTTTTTCTGCACCAAGTTTATGAAGGAAGCCTTTCTATAGGCAGCCTGAAAATCCAGAGTACAATTCTTAAGTAGTCTTTGTCATATTTTAGGTGAAGCTAGACCATTACTAAATGCGTCCCTTACAAATTCTTTTTGGTACTGTTTGGCAGTCACCATTTTAAAAGCACAGTTTTTGCTTAGTTTGTGGAGTCTCACAGGAATTTGTCCAGAGAATCACCCAGTTTCTGTTGATCGGTAGCTAGAATGTGCCTGACAAAAATTTCATTTGGCATCTTAACATATATTTTTTTAGGATGTTAATAGCCATCTTATATGTATTACAGTCCTTTATATATTTGTAAACAAAACACAGCTAACAAGCAACCTTAATTTGTTAAGATTGATGTCACTGCATTCTACAAAGAAATTGTTTAACATTTTAATCCACTGTTTCCATTCCTTTGCTGCCATAGGGGAGTTTGAGTCGAGGTCCAGTTTTGTTGGTTTAAATATTTTCTCCATGTCGTTAGGTACGAGACAATATCAACAGAACAAATACAATAAAAATTAGTTTATTAAATTGTAATAAAAATAACCAACAATTATTACAACTTAAACTTTAATGAACTAATTTTACAAGCTACTGTTAGTGACTTAAAAAATCCACCTTTTGTTTCCTTGTGATATGCAGGGAGTGTGTCTTAGTCCAGTAGAGTTCCTTAAGGGCCGATAACCTTCATTTGTTAGGGCCTCAAGGGCTATCAATCATTATTATTACAGCTTGTTACCTAATTCACTTGTAGGTAAGTCTAATGTAGGTTCGAATGACAGGAAGGAGTGTTGCTTTGTTACGTTTCTTAGCAATTGAACCTCCTGATACCACAACAAAGCAGTATTTATTCACTCATTTAGTCTCATCAAACAACCAAATTTGATACAGAACCTGACGACCTCTCTCATACTAGCTGCAAATAACCAAAGTTTCATCTGTTTCCACCTCAATCCCTTCCCCACCAATCAGTTCCTGGTTAGAAAACCACTCATCAGTAACTTCACGACAAAATGACCGTGAGTCTACCAAAGACTTTGAAGAGATGTTAAGGTACTGTGTCACAGTTTTGTGGTCCCATAAATGTGTGATAAAATGGTTAACAAAGAAAAGAATTTTCCACTGAGGAATATTAGTATTATCTACAAAAAAACATTTAAAATATGATACAGAATAGTCAAAATAATGTCTTTTCTTTGTTTTAGGAATATTATAACTTTTTTTGCAATGCCATAGTTTCTTTTTTTTCACAAGTACACTGACTTTTGCAATGGGGATACTGCTGTTGGTAGAAAACTGTAAGAATACAGAAAGTCAACACTTTTCTCATCCTCATAAAACTCTGCAATACAGCAATAATAATGGAAAGCATATCTCTGAGACAAAGTCATTCTGGTACTCAAGTAATACAAATTAAAACTGAATGGATCACCAAGGAGAGTTGATAGGTTACTGAAAAAAATGAGTAATTTCCAATGTTTTTGAAGGTCATATTTGTTCAAAAACCACAGGAAAAATATAAATTTCACCTCTAAAGGGAGGTAAGTGTAACAGTGAAAAAAAAAATATCCCAAAAATTTACAGAAGTTTAAAAAAGCAAATCTCAATTGACCTTTAATTTTTTTTAAATCTTGAATATAATTTGAACATTTAGTATTTACATTTTTTTAAAGATTAGTTCCCAGAAAAATTAAATCATTTGAAAATTTAATTTTAAGCTGCATAAAATTATGCCCTGAATCAGAAAATAAAACTGAAATATTTTCTTGCTTAGAATGTTTTCAATAGAATAATCTGTAGACTTGATTTCGGAAAAATATTGCTTTTTAACCTTGGCCTGAACTGCTTGTGCATCAGTACACTTTGTATTTTCCAGAACCTTCTTGTAGTGATTATGAGCAGTTCTTAAGAGTCAAACTAAACCACTCCTTGCGATAAATATTGAAGTAGTGGTTACGGTAAGCTATGGCTGGCAGTTTGGTTTTTGCTGGAATCTTTTGGAGGCTATAGAACTCTCTATTCCAGAAAGGATCCATTCTGAGACAAGGCCAGCACTTTTGGAGGCAGAATGTTTGAAGAAGGTCGAAAAAGGTACTTCTAAAGTGTAAGATGTAAAGCTGTCCCAGCCTTCCTTCATGTATCAAAAAAATCATTCTATGGAATGGCAAATCAGGGGATGCCTTTGTTTTGATATAAACTTGGACACTAACTAGTGAATGGTTTGATGTGCCAAGAGGTAGGTGAAACTTTTGCAAAGCATTTTTTAGGGCAGAATGTAAGGAAGAGGTTAAGGAGGTTCACCTGATGTGTTATCATGTCAGGAACACAGGTGGGTTCTTCGATGATCTAAGCTAGTTCATAGGTGAGGGCAAAGTCTCTGCGATATCTTCTTTGTTCATCAGTTTTGTGGACTAACCCCTCTTGGTGGTGAATATTAAAGTCAACACAGATATGAAAGCTTGCTGAGGGAAATTCAGTGAAGATATTATCAATTCTCAGATATTCTGTTGAAAATTAGCATCCCATTGTCCTAAGGACAGTAGCAAAAATGAATGTGGTTCTGTAGACAAGTTCCAAGCAGAAGCACATATATGGGAGATTGGGGTCCTTGTTTTTTGCATCTTTGTCACAGGGGAAATTTATTTTTAATGTAAGTGTCAAGCTCATGGATATGGTGATTTAGGTGGTAATGTTTGGCTGTTAGGGAAGAGTAGCCTGGGATTGCAAGACTCAATACATCACATAACTCCTAACTTCCCTGCATTGTTCATTTGACTGTGGGAATTGTGGGCTTGATGTGATATGGCAAAATTACTATGTTTAAGCAGTTTGCGCTGTTATTTCTGCGAGTGATTCAGCTTCAATCCATTTAGTCATACAATCAATGCATGTTAGCAAATAACAATATTGGCTATTGAAAGTGTAACTGTTATTCTTCAATGGAGGGATGGGTCCAACAATGTCAATATGAACAGTATGAAACCTAACTGAGGGTATATCAATAGGCTGTATCAGTGTTTTGATATGCCCATTAACCTCAGCTGCTTGGCAAGTCTCACATTTGGAGCAAAATTGTTTCACTGTTTTGTCTATATTTAGCCAAAAGAACCAAGTTTTAATCATCTTAATAGTTGCTCTTAGTACTGCATATGATATGGAATGTATGCTATCAAATATTGCTTTACACTATGCACTAGGTATATATGGCCTGGGAAAGGAAGTGGACGCATTGCACATTACAAATAAATTATCATTAATATTATATTTTTTTAGGTTAGAAAAATTGTGTATGTCTGAATCTACCGCTTGAGCATGTACAATTGCTGGTAGGTCACAAAGATTGACAATCAGTAACTATATTTTGTTGTCCCTTAATAATGTTCTGTGTCAGTTATATACTCAGTAAATCTAGTTGTCTCTGCTGTTTTTCTGATTTTGCTAGAGTGAGTCTATGAAAAGCAATACATAAAGGTTTATGGTCTGTCAGTAGCAACACTTGCTGACATTCTATTATGTGTCAAAAATGTAAAATTGTGAGGTATTCAGCAAGAAGCTCTCTGTTAAATGTGGAATATTTGATTTGTTTTTGCTATTTTTTTTTTAAAAGACCTGATTGGAATAAGATTTCCATAAACAACATGACTGTACTGACTGTGTATTTACTGGCGTCACTAACTAATTGATGCAATCAGGTTGAGTGTGTGCTAATGGGAGGCAGTCACATAGAATTTTAATAATGCTATAAGAGACTTCTAATTCATATTCTTTAAGAGTAAATGCACTGTTTATATTTTGTCATATTTTGGTAAGGGATAAAACTATTTCTGCAAAATTGGGTATTAGTTTTCTGTAGAAGTTAATCATACCTAGAAATCTGCATAAACATTTGCTATCATTAGGTGGTGGGAAGGATTTTAGGTAATTAATATTTCTGCTTGTTAGTGTAAAATATAATCAACAAAACTCAACTGGGTTATGAATATATTTTATTCGCAAGCATTGAACAGATGAAAATGTACA